GGAAAGTGTGTCAAAAGATTTTGATTGTAATTTTGATTATAAGCAATTTTGTAGCCTGACATGCTGACTCCAGAACCTAACCCTTGCATAAGACGTGATTCCACTATAATGAAATTAATTTCTTGATGGAAATTATAATTACTTTTAATGATGATAGGTTAGTGTGAACAATTTACTGAACGGTTTCTGCGTGGCTCTTATACTGGAGCACCAGCTGGCCTGCAGTTTTTTAAAAATGATTTTTCTAAAAAGAAAGAAAGAAAGAAGGCAATTAATAGTACAAATCAAAATTTTAAAAGTAGTTGTGAAAGTAAGTTGCCAGCTACAAGTAATAATATTGGGATCATGGAATATTTGAAAGTGTTCAAGCAGATGGTCAATCGACAATAGTCAACTGATCAACTGACTGGCATGCTGACCCAGAAGAAACCCTCCACAGTGGAAGACAGTGATAGTTGCTGAAATGGAAAGGAAAATGGATACATATACTCGTACGTACAAAAAAGCACTTAAGCTCACATATGGGCTTATCTGGATCAGAGCCCTCCATTTCAACCATTTTATTTTTGCAAATCACATTTGTTTAAAATAAATGACTTTCCCCATGCAGTCCACCATGATGACGTCATGCTTTTAGAAGCAATAATTTAAAAAATCGCTGAAGTTAACTTTAGCTGATATACACATTAGAGGGTTCATTAGCAACAAAACCACCACCACCACCTCCTCATTTCAAATGGACACAAAAGCTTACCGTATATACAACGCAATTTTATCTTTACCGATGCTGCCTTTTATGATTTCACTTAAGGGCTAATTGGCAATACACAATGTATAATCTAGTTGCACATCTAAAATGGCTTTCATCATGATCAAACATTTACCACAAATTGTGAACTCATGGGTGAGGTCCTCCTGAAACAAAAGCAGTAATAGGCTAAGAGTATGCAACACCTTTTCTTTAATTAGAACATAATGTCGTATTTTAATGCTTTGAAAGAAAATCACACCATCAAGTGCCACACAGGTCATCAGCCAAACTACAAGGAAATTACTATTATGGTTATCCATTCCACATAAAGCTTTATAGTATGGCAATAAATGAAATCTAAAAGTCATCAGGAATTCTGAAAGTTTGCTAGTGTCAACACAGCTGCCTTCTCTGTTTGAGTGCATCCACTGAGAAAAACTGGAAATAAATAAAGAGTGTGTGTGTGTGTGTGTGAACCACTTTCTATTATTTAGAAACCCATGGCAATTGGGGAGTAGGAGACTACATTTCACAGTAAGAAGGAAAAAATTAAGGATTCTTTTAATTTCCAAAACTGTTTTCTGAGAAAATTAAAAATAGGCATACCAGAGCAGTGAGCAAACACCCTGCTGCTAATCAGCTGCTAGAATGGAGACAGCGATGACAGAAGCTATTTTGGCACCCGATATCAAGTTTGACTGACATGCCTCCAAGCAGCAGTCAGTCTCTTCCAGCTGTTCCTGAATCTGCAAGTGCTGGACTACTCACAGCTATTGCTACGCTACCCATGACAAGACTGGAATCAATTAACAGGCTAGAAGACAGCCCACTGGGTTTCTTACCTGTAAGTTATCCCACAGTGGCTTAACTTTTTTAAAAGTTCTCTGATGATATTTATGAGTAATGCCCCCCACTCAGGGTAGGAAGGCACATTTAAAGAAATTAAAAGACTGCCCACACTGTGCTCGACTCCTCCCTGTAAGTCCCCAAGCTGAAAAGTTGAGAACTCTGGAAACAGATCTATAAGAATCTCAGAACAACTAGGAAATAATAACAATAAATGGCTAAGTAAAGAAGAAACTGTTAGTTCTCTCTGACATTCCAGGTTATTCAGGGTCAAATGATAAGAGACTGATGGAGATCCATGATCAGATTTCCTGTGTTTTTAATTTTTATCATATAGAGATCATGGTGAACCCTGATATGGATCTCTGGGCAAGATTCAAATCCCAGCACAAAGGGCTTCTGATAGTGCAGCAGGGCTTTTCAACCCCCCACTCCCCCCAGCAGTACCTCCCAAAATTGGTTTGTAATTTTAGGAGACTTCCATCTAAAAAAACCAAAGAGAAGTACAAAAATACTATATTAACAACAACAAAAACCCAATAAAATCAAGTGTAAGGGTGGAGTTGCATTTTGACTTATCAACAAGCATTGGTGCAATCTGCATCACATCCCATAAGTCAACACCTCTTTACTGATGAACCTCTTTGCTTTCTCCAAAAGGAGGTTCTGGTATTTGAAACAGAAGCATAGAATTTACAAGCTACATGAATTCACAGGTAGGAGCCCCAGCCTGCCATTCTTTCAAATACGATACGATACGATACAATAATCTTTATTGTCACTGTCCCATACAGAACAACGAAATTGAAAAATCTACATCAGACATTCAAAATCCAACAAGCCTGCTATCCCAACTATCCCAGCCTGGTTAGCCCCTAAAAACTCTAATACCCCATAATTAAATACCATAGAGACTACCTTACACTGTGTTTAAAACCAAAATTACATTTGGATAGAAACTGTTTCTCAGGCGGCTAGTCCTAGTCTTTATAACCTTGGACCTTCTTCCAGAAGGCAGAAGCTGAAAGAGATCATTTCCGGGGTGCGCACTATCCAAATAGCTGGATGGGACCCCTCTCTTCTAGAAGGAAGGACAAGGGAAGCATTCTACTCTGCATTTTCATAGGGGAACTCATCCACTCCCAGTATCTTTTACATGTAGTCAATTCCACTGGGAGTGAAGGTAAAAGGGTAATCTTTTTGCTTTTAATTGTTCAAACCAGAAGACAACAGATTGTAAGGAAGGTTTTCCAGAAGCCTTGAGCTTTTGAAATACAAAATTTATTAAATAAGAGCAATGGATTTAAACCAGTGGATCAACTAGCAAGTTAAGACCCAGTTTGACACAGCAGGTTGCGGTGTGCACTCGCCAATAATTCCTGTCCTTTGCACTTGTGGACTGCAAATACACAACATGACATTTGGACCTAAATGTCAGCTCAGCTTTACACTCTAAATTCTCAATACTGCTAGCCTACAATTACAGGACTATATTCTTGAGTTCTTTGCAGTCTAACAAGCGTTGCCTGTTCTCTGCAGTATGCTTTTCAACAGCAGAATAAGGACGAGAGAAAAGTGGATCCCACAAGCCAAAGGAGCACAATAATCAACTGAACAAACTTCCAAAGCTCCTTCATAGCTCAATATACAGTTATCTCTAAGGACTGTTAAAATTGGCTTTGACCTGGAAAAACAGCCTTCTTTTTCTATCTTCTTTTTAAAAAGTTATTATTGCATCTGTGTTACCCAATTATATCATAGCCAAATTTGAATTATTAGTATTAGCTGCCAACTACGAGGCAGCATATGTGCTGTGACCCTACCTTTGCAAAGAAAATGTCTGAAACGGTAGGTAAGCCAAGTTTTGAGCGAAGCTTAAAATTTAAAGTTGAAAATTAAAGCTAATTTGTGGATAGTTAACAAATCTACCTCATTTTTAAACATACAGCCATTTTAATTACCCTTAGATTTCTATTTGGCTACTAAAGGAAGCAGGACAGCTATTCAAAGATGTGAATTTAGAAGACCTCTGTGAGAGCTCCTCTCCAGAGAACTTCAAGTCTGGAGTAAAAGGTCCTCAAAAGACAGAGCAAGGTGACCCAATAGCAGAAGAGAGGACAAGGAGCTGTTTTTCAGATGATCTCATGTCAATGATCTACCTCCAGGGATGAGTAGGGTGGATTAGCAGGGACCATCTTTGCTGCAAGTCCAGGAATACCAGTTCCCTGCTCTGAAACCCCTTTTCTACTTGGCCCTGACTGACTCCAACTACAAAAGTTGAAGCTCTTGAACAGACTATTGGGCTGAGGTATTGTTAGGGGTGTGTTTTTGTTGGGGGTTGTTGCTGTTATTATTATTTATTTCTTTTAGAACTTAAAATTTATGTAGAAATTGTTCAATATGTACTTCTTGATGTTTTATTATTTTACTACTTTTGTTATGTCTGTCATTATGTAATTTTTTACATGTTGTAAGCTGCCTTGAACATGGTTTTGACTTTGGAAAGGCGGTATGCAAATAAAACGATGGAATGAGTCTCATAATAGGAAACCTGATTTGACAGAAGGATGAACGACAGAATGCACTGCTAGCTTAGTAAAAACGCTAATGACATTGTGAGATGTCTAGATTATGTCAGCAAACAGGCTGCCTTGTTACCCTCTTGGACAATGTGGAATGAATGAGGCCAGTCACTCTTGGTACATGTAGAAACCTTTTGGTACATGTTGTAAAATAGAGCTACAACTGGAACAAAGTACTGCTTCACATAAATCAAAATCTACCAGTGGAGTTTATTTCCTCTAAAATTTGAAAAATCAGATATGGCTTTGAAAATAATTAGACAAATTTAATGGGAGAACAGCATAGCAGGACACAGTTAAGGATAGCCTCCATCACACCCTGCTTGTGAGCTTTCCAGAGACAACCAATGGACCACTAATTGTGGCAGAATGGAACTTTGATCTCATACAGCAAGTGAATCCCTAGGCCCAGGGAAGCTCAGTGGATATTTGGAAGCAAATTAAATCTGCATAAAACATGTGCCAAATAAATAAATCCCTGAATGCCAACACCAGAAACCCACATGCATTCCTTCCAAGCACATGAATGGCAAAGTGAATTCATCTTTCTATAATTTCCTGTCAAACACTAGAAAGATCACTGAAATCACAAGGACAGTTCAACATTGCCACTTACAGCATATAATTGCCATAGACATCCATACCTTTGCCTTATGTAGTCAAACCTATGAATATCAAATGACAAAGCATACTGTTGATCTACTTGTTTGATTAAAATTCACGGTACTACATTATTTTTAGCAATCACAACATCTAATCAGTTAATCAAACTACAAAGAGAAACTGAAAGGACAGCTAGATGTCAAAATCATTTTTCTTACCTGACAAACAGATGTAAGTTAAATATTCGCCCTGACCCCCCGTTGCCAAAAAAGGAATCTTTTTCTTCGTTCTCCTTTTTACTTGGACTGCTCCCAACATTCTTTCATCATGCGGAGCGAAAATCTCTTTGCTGATAGTGGATTTGGCACTCATTGTAGATCAGAGATGGAGGAGACTGATTGCGTTCCTAGAATAAAATTCATATGGTACATTTTAATTTCACTTATACAGCATACTGATTCCCATTACCCTTCACTTATATAGTATACTGATTTCCATTACTCTTCAATAGGAAGTACATGCAAAAACATATGCAAGATAAAAAATACAAAAGTAGTTATATGGTCAAGGATTAAACCCGAACAGTATAACAAGATCCTTGCTACTGTCATCATGGCAACTGCCATCAAGTTTATGCCCTCTCAGAATCCATTATCTGTCATGCTGAGAGGATGAGACAACAAAAACTCTTTCCATGGACTAAGTATTATTTTTTTCACCAAACCACCATTCCCTCTCAGAGCAGAAAAAACTGCAACTTGCAGGAAGCAGGTGTTTGCGGGAGGGGGGGGGGCGTAACATATAAGCTCCAGGCTTATTTAGGCATATAAGGCTCCAGGTTCCTTCATTTATATCTCAGGTCTTCCTAAAACATTTGAGTGATTCTGTTATTCAGGCTCACCAGCAATGTGGCAAATGCATGTCCTATGGATCTCACTCCAAACATAAGGATCAATTATTGACATTTCACTTTTATGTAAACCAGCTTAACTCGGATCTTTCCATTTAAAGACTCTTATAAAGACTCCTGTTTGCAGTCAGAGTAAAGAGTCAGGTTGCACCTTAAAACTATTAACTAATTTGTTTGTGTGGGTTTTTTTAAAATTGCCGCAAGACTCTTTGTTTTTGCAGCAACCAATAAACTATTCTTTCCTAAATCACAGACAAATTAGTTACTTCAACATACAAGAGGGTTGATTGGAAGCAATAAATATATATATACCGTATTTTTCGCTCTATAACACGCACCTGACCATAACACGCACATAGTTTTTAGAGGAGGAAAGCAAGAAAAAAATATTCTAAACAAAACAGTGGATGTATGATTTTTGTGGTTCATGCTGTGGCCACAAACGTGATCTGACGGTGAGTTTGGGGTAGCCCAATGCAAAAATCCTGTGGATCCATGTGGATCCATGCTTTTTAACCACGTTTTTGCGCCATTGCAGCCCCATGAAACAGTGGGTGCGTGATTTTTTTGGTGCAGGCTGTAGCCATGGACATTTTATGTGATCTGATGGTGAACCTGGGGTGACCCAGTGCAAAAATCCTGAGGATCCATGTGGATCCGTGCTTTGTAACCATGTTTTAAGTAGGGAGGGAAGGAAAAGCATTCAAGGGACAAGGAGCATGCGTGGGGTGTGTAGAGAAGGATGTGGCTAATGATGCAGGCAAGCGGTTAAAGGGGAGAAGGAACACGCGTGGGGTGGGTGGAGAAGGATGTGGCTAATGATGCAGGAGAGGGATTTAAGGGGAGAAGGAACACGCATGGGGTGTGTAGAGAAGGATGTGGCTAATGATGCAGGAGAGGGATTTAAGGGGAGAAGGAACACGCGTGGGGTGTGTAGAGAAGGATGTGGCTAATGATGCAGGAGAGGGATTTAAGGGGAGAAGGAACACGCGTGGGGTGTGTAGAGAAGGATGTGGCTAATGATGCAGGAGAGGGATTTAAGGGGAGAAGGAACACGCATGGGGTGTGTAGAGAAGGATGTGGCTAATGATGCAGGCGAGCGGTTAAAGGGGAGAAGGAACACGCGTGGGGTGGGTGGAGAAGGATGTGGCTAATGATGCAGGAGAGGGATTTAAGGGGAGAAGGAACACGTGTGGGGTGGGTGGAGAAGGATGTGGCTAATTATGCAGGAGAGGGATTTAAGGGGAGAAGGAGCTCGAGTGGGGTGTGTGGAAAAGGAGCTTTTCGGCGAGCTGAGAGGGGAGGGGGGAGGGAAAGAGCACTGTTGCTTTAAAGGAGCCAACCAGACAGCAGCCACTTACAGCAGTGTAAGCAGCTCCTTTCCTCTCCCACTTTGCTCCTTCTCTCCCTCTTTGCTGCTTTACGCAGCTAATGGCGAATCCCCTGCAACCCAAGTCCTGCTCAGCGGATCAGCTGAGACGCTGGGAGAATCGTAATTTCCCTCTCTCCCTCATCCCGTGCCCTCCTGTCCCCAGCAGCCTTTTTAAAAACTTTTTTACTGGTTTTCACTGCGCTCGTGGCTCAGAGCCCTCCTGTGCCCTGCCGTCCCTCTGCAGCCTCATTGCTCCGTTTAGAGAGCGTTGCTAGCTGAGGCTGCAGCAGCTGTTGCTGGCTACGCGGCGCTTTTCCGGATCCCTATGGCTCCCGTCTGTCCCTCCTCGCGTGTAAGCGGCTGCTGCCCGCTTTGCTGCCATGGCTCTCCTTCCCTCCCTCCCTCCCTCCTCGGCTCCTCCCCCTCCTCCTGGCTGTAAAGCAAGCAAAGCTTGCTTTGCTTGACTGACGGCAGCCATGGATCCAGTCGAGTGCATTCGCTCCTTAACACGCACAGGCATTTTCCCTTACTTTCTAGGAGCAAAAAAGTGCGTGTTTTGGAGCGAAAATTACGGTATATATAAATCATTGCTTCCTGGTTATTTCCTACTGCAAATTCCCCCCTCCCAAACTTCACTGCTTGCCTTGTAACTCCTCTTGCCCTGCAGTATTATGTGATTACATCATACACTGGTAACATCAACAGACATAGCCCTTCCCATTTACAGTAGCAAGCTACATCTGCATGGACACTGGTTATTGTTCACTGACAAACGTTCTTCTGTGCAAGATGGAAAGCTGCACTTCCAGCAGCCTTCTAAAAGATCGGTATTGTACTGCTTTCAGCTATACTGATCTTTGAATGATTTGTCATCTTTTGGTGTATTTCCAGGCAGACGTGCCTTTCTTCATGTGATGCCAAATGCTCTGAATACAAGACAACTTTAGTACGTGAACATCCAACTATCCTAAGCTCTTTGAAGTATTGTATAGCCATTTAAGGTTAAGACATGATCTCAAGCATCTGATTTAGCATGTCTGATATATTTAGCAAAACTAAAAACAAACGAACACCATGTTAATTTTACATGCTGTAAAAGACAGCAAACTGATATACAACTACCTGGGAATGAGTCCCATTGAACTCAATGAATCTTACTTCTGGATATACATGCACAGGATTATACCCTGTAAATGACTCAAAGGTTTCAACCACAATACTCAAAAGGTTCAAATACTTTTGTAGCAAAATACTTGACTTGGGATGCATGTGTGCAAGTTACAGCATACACTTAATGTCGTTAAAATTTTACATTTGAAACCAGAGTCAAAAGCTTTACTTAGAAATTATTGTTTTTAAAATTAGTTTTATAGGAATACAAAACTCTAAATCAAAATGAAACTACTGCAAAATTAGTACAGGAAATTTGTTTTCAAAAATCTTACACATGTTAACAATTGTCTGGCTATGAGGTTTCATTCATCTTAAATATCCAAACCGGCATTCTGAGCACCATGCAAACATTTCTCTTGCCTCACTCAAATTCTCAGATCTCTAACTGAAACAAGAGTTCTAATCTATGACCACCCTCAGCAGAAATCTGCCCTCAGTAGGAATATCCAAACTAGGCCACAGACGAATGCAGCCGTAAAAATATAGGTAAGGAAAACAGCACGCCTTCAGTCTAAGCCTCCAGAATTGCATGTTACTGCTTCAAAACCTTGTGCTTCTGCACCTACTTTCCATCTCTAATTTCTTTGAATGATAGTTAACAACATTTACATATTCCACTTGATTGCAGTAAAACCTCGAAGTGGTTTATGAAACAAAATCTGCTTCGATTTCCTGGTTAGAGAGTTGATGGCTTTCTCAGGCGTTACATGGAAATCCCATGGATCCACCAACATCTACATCACATGAGTTATGCACATGTAGCTTCAAACGCCTACAATGTTCATGCTGCCACCTAGGATTCTGAGAATCTTTTCTGACACAACAGTATATCACATAGTCTTCCTATATGACATGTACAAGATCACACTCTAGACCAGTTCCCTTTCCCATGGTCCCTCCAGATGTTGCTGGACTACTGTTCCCATCATCCATGACCACTGGCCATGCTGGCTGGGGCTGATGGGCATTTTACTTTTCTGTAGTTAACCTCATCATTTGTACTTTTTTATTATCTGAAGCAGTGCTTTCAAAGTGACTTGTGTTCCACTGACTAATATGCACCCTTAAAATAATTGTTGACCAAGTATCAAATTATATAGATGCAAAAGAGAAAACTAATTTTCCTTTTTAATAATGTTATTGTTTTCTGGGTCTTCAGTAACTTCTTTGCTTCTGTTCAGTCCCTGCTTGGTTGACTTCAGACCTGCCTCAGGCTGTGAAGGTTTATTTGGCATCAGGTGTTGTTCCTTTGTTCCTGTATCAACACCCCTTTCCAAACAATTTAATGGATTACCTTCAAAGTCTTGGCAGTTAGACAAATTCACTCCCAATTATAGAGTATGCATGTTTGTTTGTTTTCTCTGAAAGGGTTTCACTGTGTCCAGATAAAGATTGCAGAGGAGGAGGAGGAGGAGGAGGAGAGAGAAGTAAATATACCAGTCTTGATCTTCTTCATGAAATGCTAATACCTTTCATTTTGAAAAGAAGCAGGATGAAAATGAAAATCTCATCTTACAGATGAGCATTAACTATCCTAGGCTGCATCAACAGTAGTGTCCAGATCATGGGAAGTAAGAGCGGGGCTTTGTTTCATCTAGAACTCACCAGAATTCAGTTCTGGCACCTCTCAGGGGGATGCCATTGTCAGTTTAAGAGAACAAGGGCGGCATTCATGGTGAGTTGTGGCACCTCTTTTTCTAGAAAAATAGCACTGAGAATGCCACTCTATTCTGATTTGATCCGACCACACCAGTTTGGGGGCCACAATTTAAGAAGGATATAGACAAGCTGGAACGTGTGGAAAGGAGAGCAACGGGTCTGGAAACCAAGCCTTATGAGGAATGGTTGAGGGAGTTGGGTATGTTTAGCCTGGATATGAGAAGACTGAGAGGAGATATGATAGCCATCTTCAAATATCTCAAGGGTTATCACGTGGAAGAAGAAACAAGTT